CTAAAAGTGTCTTCTGGATTCTGTCTGCATCTCTCCAAGACTGATAGACCTCAAAGTTTGGGAAACCCTGCTCTACATTTTTTTATCTCTAAAACCATCCTTACTTTTCACCACAAAATAGCTGGTACCAATTCATATGATCCAACAAATGTTTTAGCCCTCTCACTTCCCTTTGTAGATCACAGATATTGATATCGAGCACCTCCATTATGTTTTTGTCAGTTGAGATTTTCTGGTAAGAAAGAGGAGAGGAGGGGAGAGGATTGTAGACTACATTACCCATCTGCAACATTTTCTGCTAATAGTAAGGACAGTACCATTCATTTTGGGGTATATTTTGAGGATTGTGCTGCTTGCAATTAAAGCCATTTTAGAGCAAACACACTCACCCTGCAAACCAGGATGTCTAATATAGTGAATACCTATATTCTTCCCTGCATCGCACTAGTGAAAAAGTGTGCTATTTCTTTCACTTGCTTTGCATCTTTTTCTCTCAGTGAAGATTATTTGCTGGAAATCTGTTGACAGAAGAGCTCCCTAGTTATGGGTCTTCCAAGTTGCTTGAAACATTTTTTGTACAAGACTGCATCAGAGTATATAATTGTATAACTGATTTTCTGTGCTCTGTGAGCCCAAACTGCAATCTTGTGGTATCCTTGCTTACGAAGTAACTCATATTAAGCACAGTCACTGATTTATTGTCTCCTTTGCCTTGTACATAAATAATTCACAGAACTATGGAGAAAAAGGGTTGAGAAGGGTGAAAAAGCACTTCCATTATGCCTACACTGCTCTATTCTGTTATGTTCCAGATCTCTTTCTATTCTTTTTTTCTAGTTTATCATCTTTATTTTATAACTAATTGCAAAAAATTACAAAGGCATACCACACTATTAAAGAAGCAACCCAGCCACAAAAGCAGAGCAATAAGTATAAAGAAAAAAGAAGTGGGCTTGGAAATTGTTATAAACAATTTTGTCAAAATATGCACCATGTTGCTTGAAAATCCGGCTTCTCACTTGCCCCAAAAGGTTACCTTGCTCAGCCTCTCAAAACCTGAACATTAAAAGTACCTGTTTATTTTTCCCCTACCAAAGACACCTTCTGGAGAGTCTACTGTTATCCTCCATAATATACTATATAGAATGTTAACCAACATTTCAAAGGAATGTATGTCTGCTCTATCTAGAAAGTGGGGACCTTTCCCTAGTGAGTTCAGTTGCTGAAGAAGTCTTGGTCATGAACCCCATATCAGAAGCACCAGTTAAACAAAGACATCAGATAATTGCCAATTTTGGCATTTCTAAGACCTATCAGCCCAAAGTTGCTTTGTAGCCATATATTTCTGGACAGGGACAGTCTGCCTGTTTGCCTTCAGGGATATGTCCATCACTGCTGCGTTTCTTCTACTCCCTCCACCGACCCCCACCCCCAGGAGTTGTTTCCCTTTGAGCCCCAATTAAGCCAAGTCTCACACCAAAACAAACATGTTCCAGGCCTCTGAAGTACATGTTGGGGCTCAGACTGCCTGGTGCCGGGGCCAGTCTGGCCTCAGGGAGTGATAAAACAGCTTGAGAAGATCCTGACAAAGGAAGTTGGGGCTTCAACCATGTCACAAAACTTCTTTTAACAATTAATCACAAGGGAACAAGAACCATTGACACTAGGAAGAGAGAAATTGAACTTTTTCCCAGTGGATTTTTCTCTTGGTCAGATCAAGATTGTGTGAAAATGGTCTCTGCACGATGTTCTAAAATTTTTGTAAGTTTTTTAAAAAGTATATTATGATATTTTATGATACTTTAGCTACACTGACATCAACAGGGAGACAAACTCTGCACCTAGTGGAATATATGTTTTAGCCAAACTCCATGAAAACTATCTTTATCTGCTGATGGATATACCCAGTGCTTTTTTTCTAAAAAAAAAAAAAAAAAAAAAGGTGCCGGAACTCACACACATCATACAACCCGCCTTCCCTACCCTACAAGATTCCATCCAAAAAAGGTGCCGGAATTCCGTTCTGGGCGTTCTATGACAAAAAAAGCCCTGGATATACCTTACACTAAAGTCCAATACACCCTTTCCCAAACTAGCACTCACCAGTTGTGCTGATCTAACTCCTGAACATAGGCTTTATTGGTTAATATTTGTAGAACTGTACTTCTGCATGTGATGTGCACTTGTTTGAAGAAGACTGGATGATCAGAATCTTGCAGGCTGAAGGTAATGCAAGATTAAGTGTTGAAAAACTACAATGTGCCTGATCTTCAATCCAGTGTCTTAATAAGGCTCATTATCCGCAGTTATAAACCAAACATAGAATACATACATATTATTATGTCATAGTTTAGTGAGCTAAACTTTCACTATCCTTCTGCCAAATATTGTAGATTATATATCTATTTTAACTGCCAAAAAAATTTCTGAACTTATTTTTGTTTGCAGCTGACTTATTTTCTCTACAGTCAGCTTGCTGAAAAAGTCCATGTAATTTAAGAACTTGCAACTTTTTACAGAAGAAAACTTTTATCTACTAAAGAATGTAACCAGCAGTTACATATCAATTTGTATTAATTAATTATGAATTTCTTCCCTAAAAATACAGACTAGCCTCGGATGCAAATTCTCCTCTTGAAAGAGAAGAAATTAAAACATAGTGGTTGTGTTTTTTCATTGATCAACTTGACACTAAAATATGCTTTTTGGCTGCTTGCTTTATGGGAACTTTAATTCCTAAGAGATCTGGTACAATTACAATTTACAGAAGAAGCATGGGTAATTAAACAATGTTAGATTACAGGTACACTTAATCAAATAATAACAGTGACAACAACAACAATATGCTTTCATGCAAGATAGGTACCAGTAGTGGGATTCAGCCAGTTTGCACCAGTTCAATAGAACTGGTAACTAATTTTTTGTTGCCCAGGCCCAGAATGGACTTCCAGAAGCAGCATCCACACAGAGAACCAGTTGTTCACATATTTGAATCCCATCACTGATAGGTACCCTCTATAAATCTAGATTCAGTGGTGGCTTTTGTATAATATATAAATAGGATTATATCTTCACTACAAAAAAGTGTTTGATGTTATATAACTATTAGCAACTACGAAGCATCTATTAGTTATAAATCTAAAATGCAGTTACTGTATATGTCCAGATGTGACATCAGCAACTTTTTCTTTCTGTACCTTTTTGCTCTTCAGCTGATCAACGTTCTGTATGTTTCAGTATGAAAAACTGATCAAATTTCTTCAGCTGTTTGTCCTGAATAATTATTTCTCAAATTAGATGTGAGATGGTCCAACCATGACTGTATGGTATGTCCAGGAACAATACTGTTTATTTTGTTGTTGGTTGCATTTGTTGTCATTTGAAACAGAACATGTTCAAGCTTTCGATTCAGTGTGAGGTTTTCTACAAATACAAAATAATATTCCTGAAGATTTGAACAAAATATTCAGCCAATCTGTTTGTAGATGGGTGATACAGTGCTCGTATTATATATCTAAATCTATTCTTTTTTCATGAATATTGGAAATTGCTTTAGCTAAAAGTTGTAGTTCATTGTCACTCACTAATGGTTCTGAGACATCTGTTCTTGAAAAAAGTTTTCTCAATATAACTACTGTGTGGGTGGCTAAAATTAGTTTCTCCTAATTTTTCTCTGAATCATCTCAGCTGTGATGGGAAGGCTCTTGATCTCTGTGAGAGAGAAAAAATGTCAAAGATATCCCCATTTGATTTGGATTTTGCATTGTTTACCTTGTGCAAGTAAATTAGTTAATTAATTAATTAATTAATTAAATTTGTATAGCTGGCCATTGCAAACTAGAAACTCTGGGTGGCAAAGAATCATAAAAACAATTAAAGCATACAGAATGCAGAATAACAGAGTTGGAACAGAACTTGGAGATCTTCTAGTCCAATATTCTGCTCAAGCAGATCCTATACTATTCCAGACAAATGGTTGTCCAGTCTCTTCTTAAAAACCTCCAGTGATGGAGTACTCACATTGGATCTCTCTTTGATAAGCTTCCATCCATTATTTCTTGTCCTGCCCTCAGATGCTTTGAAGACTAAGTCTACCCCTGCCTTCTCTGTGACAGCTCCTCAAATATTAGAAGACTGCTATTGTGTCACCCTTATTCCTTTTTTCGTTAGACTAGACATATCCAGTTCACAACCATTGATCGTGTGCTTTAGCCTCCAGTCCCCCAATCATCTTTGTTGCTCTTCTCTGGAGTCTTAGTATCTTTTTTGTATTATGGTGACCAAAACTGGATACAGTATTCCCAGTGTGCTTTTACCAGTACAGTATACAGTAAAGCAGTATTAACACTTCCCATGATCTTGATACTATCCCTTTATTGATGCAGTCTAGGACTACATTGGCTTTTTTGGTACCTGCAGCACATTGCTGGCTCATACTTTAATGGTTTTCCACGAGGACTCCTAGATCCCTCTCACAGTTATTGCTGCTGAGGCAGGTACCACCTATTCTATACCTGTGCATTTGGGTTTTTTGCTTAAGTATAAGACTTTACTTTTCTCATCGATGAATTGCATTTTGTTAGATAGGCCCCAGTGTTTAAGTCTGTCAAGTTCCTTCTGAATCATGAGTCTATCTTCTATCTATCTGGCTATTTCCCCTAGCTTGGTGTTGTCTGCAAATTTGATGACTGGTAAACAACCACTTAAGTATGAGCCAGCATATTTCTATCCTCTCATCTAAATTATTTATAAAAATGTTGAAGAGTACTAGGCCTAAGATAGAACCTTGGGTACTCCACTGCATGTTTCCCTCCATGTATATGTAGTTCCATTGAAGACTATATATTGAGTGCAGTTGGAATCATCAGTTATGAATCCATCTGCTGGTGATGCTTTCCATCCCACTTTTTTTTTAATCTTACCAAGTAAGTAGTCTGTGGTCTATTTTATCAAATGCCTTGCTGATGTTGAAGTAAACAAAAGCAATTGAGTTTCACTGATCCACTAATTTAGTCACTTTATTGAAGAGTACAATAAGGTTTGTCTGGCATGATCTGTTTTTGACAAATCTATTTTGGCTTCTATAGCTTTTAGTAATAGCTTTGCTTGTTTCTAGGTGTTCATATATCTGTTTTTTTTTTTTTCTTTTCCAGGACCTTCCCAGGTACTGATGTCTGGCTGATTGATCTGTAGTTTCCTGGAAAATACAGGAAGAAATTAAATGCAAATAGCAGCCAAGAGATATTATAATCCATTGGTGTCAGCATAATCAGGAAACAGTACATACATAATCCATCCATTCACATTTTCATGATTATATATCCTTTTGAATCCTGTGTTGAATCTGTGCCCTCTGAGGAACAAAACCCAATGATACATTTAATCAACAGCTATAAACAGAATATGTTTTTGTAGAATCGTGACTGACATCAGAGGCTGCTGATCAGCAATGAGAATATACTCTATTTGCACAAATACTGGTTAAAACATTAATTCCAATTCCAAAAGCCAAACTCAAAGCCTTTTTTTTTGTTCTGCAAATATGCAAACATTGGGCTTCCATTACCATCTTTCATGATGTGTGACATAATTATGCTGATATCCTAGTTCTCGATGTATGACAATTGAGCCCAAATTTTCATTGCTGACCAAGGCAGTTGTTAAGTGAGTTTTGCCCCATTTTATGACTTTTCTTGCCACACTTCTTAAGTGAATCACTGTAGTTGTTAACTTAGTAACACAGTTGTTAAGTGAATCTGGCTTCCCCATTGATTTTGCTTGTCAGAAGGTCGCAAAAGGTGATCACATGACCCTGGGACACTGCAACTGTCATAAATACATGCCAGTTGCCAAGTGGCTGAATTTTGATCACATGACCACAAGGATGCTGGAAGGGTTGTAAGTGTGAAAAACAGTCGTAAGTCACTTTTTTCAGTGCTGTTGTAACTTTGAACAGACACCAAATGAAGTACTAAGTAAAGTGCTACAAGGCAGCATCAGTAAGTGCATGTGTGATAATATATCTGATATTACTATTTTTTTTTGCTTCAATGAAAATTTGTTCGCATTATTTTATCAATTCTCATATTCTGTCCTCTTGTTCAAGAGGTGAAGCTCAGTGGTTAAATTTGGCAAAAAAATTGTTATAATAATTAACAGTTCTTTAAAAAGATCACAGCTGTGACACATCTTCTGATCTAGAGGTATTCATGACTGCTAGAGTTTTCTCTGCATACTTCTGCATTACACGGCAAGATATAATGCCACCTTTAAAGAACTCACGTGTTGTTGCAGCATGCTGCAGGGACAAAATCTAATGAACTGTGCAAAACTGATTTGAAAACTTAAAAGATGTACCACATTTTCTCCAGAGCCAATCATGTCATTTAAACAGCACTGGACAGCCTAGTAGCACTTGGTACATGGCTCTCTGCCAAAACTTTGGTGCAGATGCTAAAGAAATAACAATATAACCCTTTGCGTGTATTTAAGATGATACCTAACTTAGAATCTTCCTCCATTTCATTAATATCTAAGTTACTACTAGGTCTATTTTGCTGACAGGTCACCCAGTAAAGAAAGCCACAAGCTCCTCAATTCTAGGCAAGAGATATTGTTCAGCCAATAATAGTATATTAATAGTATTTTTTAAATCACCACAGATTCTGAATATTCTCTCTCTCTCTTCAAAAACACATTTAAAAACCTCAATGTTCATATACTTAATATGTTTTTATTTTATTTATTTTTCATCCATTCAATTTGTATGGCTACCCAACTAAAATGACTTTGAGAAGATTGCAGACAAATTTAAAAATGATCATAAAACCAATGCAAACAGAACACAGATAGAACCAACAGGCAACTGAGGATATCAAAAAAGGTTACCACCTTTAGAGTTGTTATATAATATACCAGCCCAAGGACTGCATGTATAGACAGGTCTTCAATGCCTAATAAAAGTTCAATAGAACCATATGAATGTTATGTGGGGGGGCAGCTTTTTCACAGCACAGGTACAACAGAAAAGACATGCTTCTACAAATGGCATTGCTTGATAGAGGGAACCCAGATAATGCCAGCTGTGTTGGATCTGGTGGGATGAACAGAACTAAGGGGAGGCAGATAGTCTCACAAACTATCTGGCATTATCTAATGAAGAGCTTTATAGATGATAACCAGCACCTGGAATTGAAGTCTACTGGAAGCCAATTCAGCTGGCATTGTAGAGGTGTAATACAGGTCTACTGACTATGTCCTTAACTACCCACACTGCTGGTTTTGATCCAAATATAAATTTAAGGGCACCTCAGTTTGTACCATAGCTTTCATTCAGGAGCTCAAAACATGTTCACTCTTTTATCTAACTCTTTCCCACCACACCAGCACCTCTCTGACATAGGTTGGTCGAGAAAGAATGATTGGGCCAAAGTCATTCAATCAGCTTTTGTAGCTGAGAATGGCCTTGAAATCTCAGACTTTCCAGTGGCAGTCCAAACTTTAACCACTGACCACATTGGCTCTTTTCTGGTACTTTCTGAAATCTGTTTCACATAGTCAGATATAAGAACAGTGGTTGAGAAAAACATACCAAAACAATTTCTTCCCAATGTGATAAATCAGCCTCCATTTCATTTCCAGATTCAATTTCATGTGAGGTTTTAGCCATTTGGTTGGCCTTTCTACTCACAGTTCTGCCAGAGGGCTCTGAATTCCATGGTTAAATTCCTGAACTGTTGAAGAAGATGCCTAGTATATTAGTTTCTACCAGGACAGGGTTCTGCAACCTTGACAACTCTAAGACTTGTGGTCTTCAGCTCCCAGAATTCCTCAGCATAGCTGGCTTAAAGTTGTCAAGGTTGCAGACCCCTGTACCAGGAGAACTGAACCATGCTAAACACCCCCCTGGCACTTTTGACTTAAGCTAGCCTTTTCTCATCCAGGCTTTGTATATATATTTTGAATCCATAGAGAGAGGGAAAAATTCCATACCAGTTGCTCACATCTGTACTACACTGTAGAATGAGATCATATCATATGGATCCTACATACCTACAGGAATCTTTCTCCATGCTCGAATGTAACAGTATACGATAGAATGCCAGGAACAGCTTTTATGAAATATTAGGGCAGCATTTTGATGATGAGCCCAAACCAGGTGCATCTTCATGCCACAATAATAACCTAGACTGCCAGCTCACTGTCATCTTATAACTGTTATAAATAGCACTCAGCTTCACCATAATAAAAATAGCTGCAAACTGCTGCATAGAATCCACAATAGAGCTGAACTAGGATGTTTTGCTTTCCAACTAACTCTGAGCACTCTTTGAAATTTAATGAAGATTTTCTGAGGCTGCATTCTTTGTTCTATCAGTTGCTGGCATAAAAAATGACAACTTTTTTCCCCAAAGGAAAATGGAAAAGATGGAAGGGGCTGTGGTGATATAGGTTGTCAACATACATCATCAACCATTGTCTCCAAGAAAAACACTGGCCAATCTGTCCGTCATTCAGCCATCCAGGGAATACATTTTTGACTAAAAGTTTACATTGCTTTTGTACAAGGGCCATCTAAAGTTAAAGACATGTATTTCCGGGTTAGTCATATTGTTCTCTGAGAAACATCTTAGATCCTGGATGCCTGAACAAACAATGAGTAAAGTACTGAATGTATGGTCCTTTTGTCTATGTGTGAACCAGTTTTCATATTTTAACAATAAATTGAATCTAATTAGATCTTTTTGCCACATTGCAAATCTAAATTGCCTTAACTCCTTTTAAACTGGAAACCTAATACTGAATATAAATTTTGGGAAAACACCAACTAAAGCTATGCATGGCTGCACGAAATAACATAGATGAGAAATTGAGGTACAATTATAAAAAAAGTACAGAATTATTTTTTCATACATTAAAATTATTTTAACCTTTTCAAAGAAGTTTGAATGTAATGACAAAATGTAAAAATATTTTAATTTTCATTAACTCAAAATTGTTTACAAAAAATATTTAGGCCCCTCTAAGACACTAATTAAGATTTCAGAATTGTTAAACTATTTCTGCAGAAGAAAGCAGGCTGAAATGGTGAAAAAGGTCCATGAAAACATTTCTAATGTATAGTGATTAATGCTACAATGTGATGCTTGCTTGTCACAATAGCAAGTGCTCCAACAACGTACAAAGTCAGCAAAACATAGCAAAGCTAGAACTCTCAATATGGCGGCCAAGGTCAATAGGAGCTCAGATTCTCAAATTGAGAGAGCATTGCATGTAATTCTGCAATGCCCTCTATACTTGGGGCTAAAGGTAATCTCCTCTCTGTCAGAAAATACTGATTGATTTCACATAGCATTTGTGAACTGCCTTCTAAATGACCAGGATTAGAAACTTTCCAGAATGGTGACCAAATCATATACCACTGCAATGCTCAAAATTACTGACTCTGACTACAATATACTCTAGATATGCTTACTCTCAGATATAAACAGGTTCTTTTTACTGAATATGTATATTCTATATTCTTTTAACTATCTTTTTTCACTCTATGAGCCTATATGTTAATAAATTAGAGTACAGCACCTACCAGATTCTATACCCCATAGTACTTTATATTACTTTATTCAATACTTTTAATTAAATTAACACTCCATATCCCAGAGGCATTCTTAGGTAGGCAGCTGCAACCTATTGCTTTCTTTTTTAAATCATCTTACTATTGCTATCATATAAAAAAGAAAGAAAAGGCAACAAATGCAAAAAAAAGAAAAGGAAAACAAGAAAAAAAGGAAGAGAGAGAGAAAAAAAACAGAAAATGTTTTAAACAATGGTATTGTACCTCTAGGAAAAGCTAACGGTGCTGTTTACAACAGCACACCTTGACCATACAGCCTAATAGTGATCAGTCATTCTATTTTGTCTTCAATTCAAAAGCAAAGAATATGAACTATCAATCAAGATTTGTAGATCTGGAGTGGCACACTTTCCATCATAACAAAATAAACTTATCTGTGGTGTGCCATGCTCAATAAATTCATAGTATCGGTATGTCCCCTCCCTTATTCTCCTAACATAAAGAAAACACTATTCCTTAAAGTGAAAATCAGCATTTAGAACAGTCTCCTGGGTTGGACTAGGTGGGAATCAGAAATATAACATCCTTAAAAACTACATTTACTAGGATTGTGCAGCGCCTGGATCCAAAGGGGAAAAGATGATTCAGAGAATGCATGGAGACTGCTGTTACACTTACCAGCAACTCCTTTAAAAAGCAGTGGTTTTTTTCTGGGCTTGTGTATGAGCCCAAGGGGAAAAAAAATGATTGAAAGATTCACCAAACAGGTGCATTCACCTCTTTCTTTGAATCTAATATTTATCTTATGTGTTTTGATACTGATTTAGATCCATTTATAGTACTTCGCTGAAACCCTTGACAAAACTTAGCAACAACTAATGAAGATGTCATCCATATAAGCATAATGTGCAGAGCAAAGCCCTTGCTCCATTGGAATAGTCTGAAAAGCCTGAAGCCCTCCCCATTTCAGACTCTGCTGCCTGCTGATTACAGTAAATGTGGCTGGAAGATAATCAGAATGGGAAAAGTTAGGTATTTCCCAGCCTTATTAATAAGTATTTGAGATTGTCTCTGATATACATCCATGCACAGTGTCAAATATATTTTTCGGAGATACATGTGTTTTAATTTAATATCACAAATGGGATCATTGAACAAAAAGTAAGGAAACCTAAGAGATTAGAAGATGAACACAGAATGTTAATTAACCTGCCTTTACAATACCGTTATCTTGGACATAAAACAGACTTTAAAAGGTTTCAAACGCAAATGATTTTGAGATACATGTTCTATTTTACATGTAAATTTAGCATTGTAAATTTCTGTTTTGAGACTACACCAAATCAATATTTATTTATTCAGTTTCTATAACTATACCAATATGGCATTGCTTAATATGTGTTCAGGTTGCAGTAAAACTTTTTTTCTCAAAGAGGTTTATTTTAACTTTTTAGTATCACTTTTTTTTTTTAGGGGCAGCTGTTGCTCAATAACAGAGAAGATCAGGTGTTGATGAGTCATCATATTTTGAATGTGATTTAGCCAGAAAAGAAAATTGTTTCTATGGCAAAACATTAAAGTGAATATGAATGAACAAGAGACCCCAGGACCAAAGTAACTCAACTGTTGACCTTTCACCTTTGAGATCAAAGATCAAATTAAAATTATAGCTGATGTGTGTTCAGAAGATTCCAATGACACCACTACATGCTCATAGGGACGTATTTTCTTTGCCCATGTGTGGACAGTCCACATGCATGTAATTCAGTCCTCTAAGAAAGGTTTTGCATATTGACCAAACCATCTGCAAGACTCTATTACCAGTATTATATTCTTCAGTACTCATTACTGTTGTCCTAAAATGCTTTTTAGAGAATCTGGGTCAATGGATCTGGATTACAAAAACACAGGGGACTATTAGCAACAGAGAATAAGGTATTGCTTGCGCCATCTAGTAGTTATTCTAGTAGTCTACATAGGGCTGCCCTTGAAGACCATCCAGAAGCAATGTGACATATGCAGTGATGAGTGCTACTAGGTTTACATATGTAACAATTCTTTGAGCAAACTGCACTTGTTTCCACTTTCGTTCCAGTGCAATTCAAGGTGCTGGTTATTGCCATTAACAAGGCCAGTTTATATGCATGACCCTTTCCTAAGGATATCTATCTGTCTTACCAGATCAGATAGAGTGGTCATGCTCCTAGTCCTCTCTATTAAACATTGCCACCTTAAGAGAGCAGGAAATGTGTCTTTTGTGTGGCAGCCCTTGCCCTGTGGCTTACCCTGAGCTTCTGCAGGCCTCTACCCTGCTAGCCTTCTAAAAAGTACTGAGGACTTGGCTTTTCTCCCAAGCACTGGGATAGGATGATGTAGGTGAGAAGGTTTTATGAGGGATTGTATGCCAAATGTTTAACTTCAGTGCCAGGTTTTTAATGTGTATTGTTTTAATATATTTATATACTATGTTGTTTTATTATTGATATTGCTTTAATAGCTGATTAGGAGCCACCCAGAGTTTGATTTAAATAAATCAATAAATTGTGAGTCAGCACTGGTTGAGTTCAAAAACAGTGACGGCCCAAAGTAACCCAGCAAGATCCCACAGCTGACAGTGGACTTGAACACAATTATTCCAAACCTAGACCAGCATCTTAACTGCTACATCACTGTCTCACACATATGAATGGACAACATGACAGCCAGTTCATTCTAAACAGTCTAAACATAACTTCTCATTAGGGGGAATATCAACAGTACATTTAAAACTTAATTAAAAATAAACATAAAAGCCTTGTTGTTGTTGTTAGTTGCAAAGTCGTGTCCGACCCATCGCAACCCCATGGACAATGTTCCTCCAGGTCTTCCTGTTCTCTACCATCTGCTGGAGTCCATGTAAGCTCACTCCTACTGCTTCAGTGACTCCATCCAGCCACCTCATTCTCTGTCGTCCCCTCCTTCTATTGCCCTCAATCTTTCCCAGCATTAGGCCCTTCTCCAGTGAGTAATTTCCAATTTTGTGCCTGCTTTTATTCATCTACCTTCCCAATTTAAAAATGATTACAGCCTTCCTAAGAGTTATTGGCAATGGCTATTTTCTGTAATGCAAGGATGGAATATTTATGTTGTTGCTTGACAGTTCCCATCCCAACTAACAAGGGCCTCAAGCCCACTGCCAGGTTTCTAACTTTGTCAGTGTTTTTCAACTTCACAACTTGAAGACGTGTGGACTTTAACTCCCAGAATTCCATAGCCTTTTCAAGTTGCTAAAGTTGAGAAACACTGCACTTTGTGATAAACAGAAACAGGAAAAGTACTTTAAGAAGCTATAAAAGTACTCAAGTGAATTATAAATCTTGTTCCATGCTCTTATGCAACAAGCCTAATATAAAATGATTGAAATGATTGTTTTTCCAGATTGAACTAATCATGTATATTTCAGCCCAGAATAGTTGAAGCTGTAGGACTTAAATGGACAGTTTCCTTTTTTTGTCTAGGTATTTAACAGCCACCATGAAATTTTCAGCCTTCTGTTGTATTCTGCAAAACCTCAGCATCTCACTGAGCTGTTATTAATAGGGAGTTTGTCTGATGTCAGAACGCAGAGACATAGAACACATTAACATTATCACATAATTATATTTAGTAAACACTTGGTGCTGCTTTGCCTTTGGTAATTGCATTTGGTAGATGTAATATTTATGAAAGGGGAAACAGAAATGTCACAGCTCATCTCCATGGAGCAGTAAAGGTCCTAGAATAAAATTGCATTAGATCTAGTTTTATGCAAGCCTGCTGCTGCCTGGCTGCAGTAGGTGCAGCAGGGTAGTTAAAATTCTTCCTGAACAAAGTGACTTCCTGGCTTTAATTTCCTCAAGTTGGGAAAACCCACACTATGGAATTTATTTATTTATTTATTTATTTAGCATATGGCATATCATACATGGATTAGCAATATATATTAACATATATATTCACCTAGATTAGTGAAACACAATAAAATATACTATAGAACAGGGGTATCAAACTCGCAATGTCACGTGACATGTCACGACATATCGTGACTTTTTGCCATTGTCGGGCAATGAGGTGGGCGTGGTTTTGCCATGATGCATCTGGCCCCTGGGCCGGCAATTTGACACCCCTGCCACACACAAACACACATTACAGAACATCTTGGTTTAAAAAAAGATTGTCCATTTTATTCTAATATTTAATCTTTGCTGAATTTATTTTTCCTTGCATTTACCCTGTTCCTGAGACCAGAAAAATATACACACAAGAGGAAAAGCTGGAAATTGAATGTGTTTATAATGAAGTTTTAAGAACTGCATTAAAAATTGATTAATCAAAACAAATTGTAAAGCTGTTTAGAGAAAGGACAGTTCTTGTGACTTTTCAAATAGTTGGAGAGATTAGCCTGCATGTAACTCACTTTTTATTCATTGAGCTACATCCTACTTATTTACTAATAATTATCATTGGCTTGTCAAAACGGTTTGAGATACATTTGTGCATCCTGTACCTAGTTGATCTTCCCGTTGCCTCTATTTTGAAAGAAATAATTTTGGGTTTCAGTTTACCCTTTTAGTGTTTCTGTTGTTTTGTAACTAGTTAACTAATTAACCTCCATAAAATTTAAAACATTAACTGGTGAAAGTTTATAATCTACCTCTAAATAGCAATAATTGAAATAAAATAAAAGTCTTTGATTATCTGGTAATTAGGAAAATATTACCTTGATAGTCCAGCACCAGAAGACAATTCCCAACTATAAAGCTTCTTCTAGGCTAGTTTCCCTTTCCTCACACAAATGCATACATCAATTTTCCTTTGATCCTCTTGGTTGCTGTTTGGGAGCAAAGTTCTATTGCCAAAACAAGGATTTGCCTGGTTTGAGAAACAAACAAAGGCAGTCATTTATCTCTTCTGTGACCCCCCTCTGTGAAGGGGTTTTACAAAGACAAATAAAACAAATAACCCAACTACTATTAAGGCCAGAGAATGACGGGCTAGTGCTACCTTCTCCTGGAGTCCCAAGTCCCAAGAGGTATTCAGTTTCAATTCCTCCACAGACCTGTACAGAAAGCTTTAAAAAAGATGAGGATGCCTTTGGGGACCAGTTATAAATACAGCTGTCAACCGCTTAGTGCTTGGCTTTAGGGAAGAATTAATGTACAGCTTTTCATAAAGTGGTGTGGCACAATTATTTGTAGAATTTATCCTGCAGAAATCAAAAAAAGAATTCCAAAAACCTATTAAAATAATTATCAATCTTAAATTTTTTTTTTGTTAAAATTCCATCCTATTGGGTTTTCCATTTCGAGGTAAGAGATGGTCATCCTGCTAACAAGAGTTTGTGGTATAGTGATTATTCATTATTTAATAGCTGACTGGGCTACTCTTTAACACCCTGCTTACAAAGTGGTTTCAAATGTACACTATGTAATAATATAATTATAATATATTAATAATTGGTATAAAATATATATAAATACAAAACTTAAAACAGTATCTAAAACACTAGTTTAATACATTTTAAAATATTTAATGTAAAATCAAAGTACAATAATAGAAACTCATGCAGCAAACTGAAGCATTACCCAACATTGTAGTTTAGTGTGTCATGCAATTCCAGCCTGTGAGATTAGCTTAATCATAACGGCATAAATCCAGTGTGTTCAATTAACTAGCGTTTTCTAGATTTTAGGAATACAAAAGTACTGACTTTCCTGGGAAATGTGATACAGAAATAAAAATGTATGGACACCACTTCACACAAATAACAAGAAAAGCCTTCTCTGTTGTTCCAGTGCCCACACACTAAAACCGCCTTCGTCACGTACATTAACCTCAGTTAGATTTACACAACTACTACGGGAGATAAAACGTGATTGACTTGTTTGTCACTCAGCGTGTCACGTGCAGGCAGTCTGGCAGTGGGAAAAACAAGGCGGACTTCTCTGCTCGCCTACAGCGGGGTGGCTAATGTTTTGTTTACTTACTCCGCACATGCCCTGTTCGAAGTTCTTAAAGTATAACCACCCTGCCAGAGAAAACATTGGGGTACCCCCTCTTCTTCCCCCCCCTCCTAGGATTTGGCCCTGCTGTCTCTTCTTGTTTACTCCCATCCCACCTTTCCGCAAAAGCTTGTTTTCAATAATAGTGCTGGTTCGTACCGGGAGGCAAATGCGGAAAACAGGCGACCGTTTTACTTCTATTTCTACTTTCCATTATAGAGGTCTCCAAAGCCCGCCGCCCCGCCGCTGGGATTCTGCACAGCTCCGCGTCTTCCTCTGCGCCTTGGCTCACAATAGAAGGCTCTTCCTTTGGAAAAGGTCCGCTGACCTTTTCGCCAGCTCCGAGCGCAGGAGCGGCTACGCCCTGCAGCCTCGCGTCCTTTAGGGTAGTAGGGTTTCTCAATTTCCTCGGCAACTTTAAGATGCGTGGACTTCAACTCCCAGAATTCCCCAGCCTTCACGTCTTGTTTCCAATGATCTCTTGACCGGAGCCGCGTTTATTTACCGGGAATGAAATGGCTGAGCCAAAATGTAAGCTTTTCGCAGGAATTACGTGCACCTTTTACAACAGAAGGCTTATGCTTTTATCCGATGTGGAAATGCAGCCAACGGACGTTATTCAACCAATGGTGATTGTTAGATCGATGTAAATCAATCTGAGCTTTGAGAGGAAGTGTAGTAGAGAAATTACTACATTTCCTCTCGAAATTATAACAGAGTGCTTTTGTCAGCCCTGCAACTTCTTCAGACAAGAAGCACGCCCAGACGAACTAATCCTACTTTTTCCCGTAAAGTTACATTAACAGAATCTTGCAAGACTGAATTTTCTCCCACCCTCTCTTTTTAGTCCCCAAGAAAGCTGGCAGGGTTCCTTCTGAATGCTTCACATATTTTTTTTTTCCCCATTTATGGGCTGAACTGCCTCTTAATCAGACCTTTGCCTGCAGTGCTGATCTTCCTGTCTCCCAAGTCCTTATCACACACTAATAAATTTTACATACACCTATCATGATAAAGCCAACCAACCTTAAAAACTAGACATACGTGAAGATTAAAGCAAATTCAGTTGGAAAAGCAAAATAACAAGCAACTTTAGAGAGGGTCTCTCTGGAAAAAGCTTTCATACTGGGAAAAGTAGGAGGAAAGATAAGAAGAGGGTGACCATCAGCAAGGTGGATGGACTCGGTTACAGTGGCCATGAGTGCACCATTGGAAAAACCTGAAAGATTAGGTCAAGGACAGATTGTCATAGGGAAAATCTAAGTGGTCTCTAGGAATAAAAAATGACTTCATGGCACTTAGAAACCAATCAGAGTCAGTCTAGCAATGGAATTAATCTCTCTTCAAAATCTCAGGGAACAGGCAGGTTATGGAAGTTTGCAACCAGTTTGCCTGTGTAAGAGAGCTAATTTCCATGATTGAGTGGAAGTCTGAGGCAACTCCCTTCTGAACCTTTGGAAAATTCATTTCTATATTAGTCATTTATCCTGTTCCAATACTTTCAGGATTTTAACTCATATATTTGTTATTTATCCCATCAGACAAGGGCAAGTTAACTTCTGGCATTTCTGGAGCCTTGCTTAGTTAGATATGTATTCTGCTCTTCCAGTCCAAAAATATATCATGCAAGGTTACTAACAGTACTAAAACAAATTGTAATTGAATCTTAAAACCTATCTATTGCAATACTTTGAACTTATCTATTGCAAGAAGGTAAATAACATTAAGAAATAAGATGTTGCCCTGGACATTGCTTAGAAGGCCATGAAAACAAGATTGTGGATGTATTGTATTAAAGGACTGTTAACTGAATATCTTCTGAAAGAAAGCTAGAAAGAAGAGATCAAAGGTGATAGACTAGAGGACCAGGAGTGGAGAAACCTGAACCCTAGTCCTGTCTTTGACACAGACCTCCTGGCTCCTCAGCCTTAGGAAGCAGGTTATGGCAAACCACTTCTGAAAATGCTGCCCAGAAAACTGCATGGATTTCTTCACGTAGTCACCAAGACTCAACACTAACCTGATGGCCAAAATCACTAGCACAGGCCCTGGGGTGATATTTGTATCATGAATTGCAGAGTATTATATTTGTATGAAAAATATAAAGGCGTCCATTTGTATTCAAATTTCCAGCCAATACTGGTCAAATGGAGAAAGTGCTTGGAGAACTCAAGAAAGTACACTCTTTGCTGCCTCCTTCATTGTCAGACTGCCCTGCTGAGCAGCAAACCTACGTTTAAACTGACCTATGCAGAAATTCGGGGACCGAATATCTTCTTTGGTATCCAGTAGGGTTGGGAACTGAAGAAAGGAAGGCAGGATGTTTGTGTGTGAATGCATGGGAGGGGGGGGGGGAAGGGTGGACCAATTGCAGCAGCATTTGAGTTGAAATGTTTTGGCTACTCATCGACTTTTACTTGAAGTGCCAACCTGGAAGCCCTTTTGCATTTAGGAAAGTAGTTCTCAGGCCCTTGACATCTCCCATTCATTTCAGCAGCAAATCCCGGGGGAGGATGATAATCCAGGAAAGCAGACACTGTGGCCTTTCTTTTCAGATTTAGTCTAAACATGCATTGTTGGCGGATGACGTGAAGGACACCTCAAATCTTTCATCTTGCCACTTCTGGAATTAGGTGAATGAGAAATTCATACAGAGTACTCCAGATGTTAGATAGAAAAAGCATCTCAGCCGTTAATGCAGTCTTACACATTCCAGTTCAGGACTAATACTATTGTGCAGCATCGAGACTCATATTATTCTTTTGTTAATATGATGGTGAGAATTAAGAGTTTCAATTAATAAAGTGTTTGGGCAATTTATATTCTGCCAAAAATGGATGATTTAGCAGTGGTTTCCTCATTTTATCATGTCTTAATTTATGAGCTTCCTTGAGGGCCCTCTAGGTAGAAAGAGAGGATATCAGTTGAACAAATAATAATATTTTGTTAGTAAAAGATAAGGAAGGGTTGAAGAGAGATCTGAATTTGCTAGATCTCATGGGTCCTGGAGAACAGCCAAGACTCTTATTCCGTTTAGTGATAGTAACCAGCTAACATTGGTTGAAGAAAAGGTGGGCAGTGGAAGATTCTTGGAAAGCCTGTGAATGCCTTTCAATTCCAAGGGGAAAGTCTGGGCTTAAAATATTCCAATGTTCTGTGTTTTCTGGGCCAGTCTTTGAACTTCCTGCCTCTGACTTCTCTCCAGGCAGTCTGGATGACAACTCCTCTGCTGCAGAGTGCTACTTGTGGAAACTCTTGTCACCACAGAGTGGCTTTCTCTGTAGCCCAATTGTTGGTCTGCAAAAGTGTACTTACTCTAAGGCAGGGGTAGGCAACCTTGGCTCTTTTATGACTCGTGGACTTCAACTCCCAGAATTCCTGAGCCAGCCATGCTGGCTCAGGAATTCTGGGAGTTGAAGTCCACGAGTCATAAAAGAGCCAAGGTTGCCTACCCCTGCTCTAAGGTAAGTACACTTACTCTAAAATAAATTTTATTGAATTCAAGCAAGCTTGAGTTTCTTTCTATCTCCTGCCTGGCCTGGTTTTTGGGTGTAAATGCTGACTTGATCCGTTTCCTGAATCTGAACTATTAATTTTCTGGCTAAAATGAGGGCAGATGCTTTTGTTTTTTTTAATGTACTGGTATCGTATCTAGAAATAATTAATGACTTTCAAACAACAAAAAAACCCGATTACATTTTTTTTTTTCACGGTATCCAGACTGAAAAATACCACTGCTTGAAGCCATAGGCTGTTGTTTGAGAACATTTTCAACTGAACCTGAAGGGAAAGTCCTCCATGAATACATTGTTTGATTTCCAAATGTGCATGGAGACAGCTGAGGAGTACATCGAATAATATGAAAACTACAAGGGTTAGAAACTGTGCAGGAAGGCAAAGAGTTCCAGAGCTGCTTTAAGTCATTGTGCTGTGAGCTTTCATGAATTACAAACGTGCCCAATGCAAGTTGCAGATCTGGCAATGAACCTCCAGAGAAAGACTTCCAGACCTCTTCCATATCCAGGGCTTTATGATCTTTCTCATTAGTTTAGTGACTGTCACCACCAGCTAAGTTATCATGAGGCCCAAGAGGTTTTTTGTTTAAGCCTTATTGTGACTTCATGATGGGTTGAAAAAAAAAAAAAGCACGATGACTTGTTCTACCTCTCTTCATCATGGTTTGCCAAACTATATTTCAATAATCATGACACTCAGAATAAAATTCTATGTCACCTGATTTGGAAATCCCTATGAACATGTTGGGACTCCTGAATAAATAGACCTAGGAAACCCAGTTTCAGTTGCATAAAAATTGGAATCTCTTTATCCATTAAAAATGATCTCCTTTGAGTGGAGCTAACTCAGGACTGCTGCAGAAGCTGTTGGGCGGCATCAGTCTTCTTCCTGGCTGCTTATTTATTTGACTTCCCACTCTAATCTGCAGACCTGAGTTACCTGGAGGTCTCCCATCCATCTTAGGTTTTTTGAGATCAGCAATTAATTGACAGGTTCCAAGATAATAGGAATTCAGCAAGGTTTCCTCTGCACTTGCTGCTCTGCTATCCCTGAAGCTACTGACTTTATTGAAGAAACGTTCCTCCAAGCGAATCCCCCCCCCCCACTCAGCCGATGGCTATGCCCAGCCGATGACTATGTTTGCTGAGAGCCCCACGTAACTGGGGGGCACTGTAGTGGAAAGGGGGCTGCATCGATCAATGAAAGATTTGTCCCTAGAGCAAATGCAACCCGGAATCGGAAACATAACTTCCGCGGAGGGTGCTCAGCCTCCGTGGAATTGAAGCTTGGGCTGGGCAATAAACTATCTTCATAAAAGAAAGCCCGGACATCCATTAAACACGCGACTCTCCTGGCAGGAAAGACGGATTTCGAGCGAGGCTGCGTCTTATCCATCTCTCTTAATAATAATAATTAAGCCCGCATCTTGCAATGTTGAAAAGAAGCGATTGCCAGGGGAATATTAATATTTGTCGCGGCATTTTAAACTCTTTCGGGCCGCCGGCAGTCAGCGCAACTTATCACGAACAAGGAAGGAGGGGAGAGGCTGAACTTCATTGCGCGTTTCGCTAAACCTCGCGGCAGTGACGGATGGCGGGCAGCGAAGCGAGTCTTCTACCGCTATCAGGCATTCCGCCCGCCTTGACCTCGAAAAGGGCCGGTGACTTATCTTCCTACCTGTGTGCCGGCCTGAAGGGGACAGTCCGGGGCGCGGCACTTTTAAGCGATTCCCCTGTCGGAGCAAACACACCCGATATCCCGGTATGAGAGAAACGAATGCGGCGTTGGTCCCGGGGAAAAGCGGAGGCGCGCTCGACTCGGATACCCTTCCGGGCCTTGTTCACGGTCCGCCGTTTTCCGTGAAATGCGCTTCCAAAGATAGGAATAGCAAAGCAAGACAGCAGCCCCTTAATGTTTTGGACTAGCGTTTCCATGTTATTGGCCGTGCTGGCTGTGGTTAATAGGAATTGAAGGCCGAAAGACAACAGGCCACTAAGTTTCTTTTAACAAAGTACTGCCTGAAACTCCACGAGTGTCGACCATGATGATTGA